ACAGCACTCTGAAAATAGGCATTGAAGAGGATATCAGAAAATGGAAAGACATCCCTTGTGCTTAGGTAGGAAGAACCAATGGTGAAAATGGCCATACTTCCAAAACTGCTATATAAATTCAATGTAATTCTAGTTGAAATTCCAGCAGCATACTTCACAGACCTTGAGAGAACAATCCAAAAATTCATTTGGAAGCAGAAGTGACCTAGAATGGCAAAAGCAATTCTAGGCAATAAAAACAAGGTGGGGATATCACAATCCCAACTTGAAACTATACTACAAGGCCGTTGTGATAAAGAAAACAAACAAACAGCATAGTACTGGCAAAGAAATAGACTTGAGGATCAGTGGAACAGGTTAGAAGACGCAGAAACAAGTCCAGACACACTCGACTATGTCATCTTTGACAAAGTAGACATCCCCTCCCCCGGAGGAAAGATGGTATCTTTAATAAATGATACTGGAAAAATTGGGTTTCAACTTGCCAAAGACTAAAATTAGATTTATATCACTCACTGTGCACTAAACTAAAGTCAAAATGGATTAAATATCTAAATATTAAAACAGGAACACTAACCCATCTGGAAGAGAAGTTAAGTAGAATTCTTGAAGGTATTGGTACAGTGTGGCTGCCCAGCGGTCAAACACAAACATGCCTGAATTGGGGAGTGAGGATTGAGAAAGGAAAGAACACTCAAGCCTGAGTGGAGACCAAGAGAATTCTGATTTATTTCACAGAAACAGCTCCTTTTAAAGGCTCACATCAACAGGAAGCTTTTAAGGGCACACAACAACAGGAAGCACCAAGCAATTATTTTTATCTTATGCAAAGACAGGATTTCCTGGCTCTTACAGATAACATCAGATCTTCTGCTAAGGAGTTCCTGTTATCCCAGGGTCAAAGAACAAAACAAGCTTAACAAATAGTGTCCTTGAAAAGAAACAAATGTTAACAAATGTATCAATGCCTTAATTGTAGAGGAAGAAGTTATTTTCCAAATGTCAAACTCCAGTTGGCCATAACTGGCCCCCACAGTACAGGAAGAGGTTTTGTGAAAAAAACCTCAGTTGGCGGTGAAGTAGCACAACCAACCAACCAACAAGTGGAATCCCTTCTTATTGAAAAGCTTCTGCACCTCAATAGAAACCACCAACAATCGAAGAGACAACCCACAACGTGGGAAAAAATTATCACCAGCTGTTTCTCAGACAAAGGTCTACTATCTAGAATATCTAAAGAACTTTTAAAAAAATCAGACTTCCCAAATTTAAAGACCCAATCCCAAAATGGGCATCTGAAATGAACAGACATTTCGCAAAGAAGTAGAAATAGCAAATGAATGTATGAAAAAATATTCAACATCACTGGTCATTTGAGAGATGCAAATGAAAACAATTGAGATTCTATCTCACCCCCAAAAGAGTGGCTGCTATCAAGAAATCAACCAATAACAAATTCTGTTGGGGCTGGGGTGAAAAAGGAACCTTTATCCACTGTTCATGGGAGTGTAGACTGGTGCAACCATTATGGAAATCAAGATGGAGATACCTCAAAAAGCTAGGAATAGAGGTCCCATTTGATCTAGCTATTTCCCCTGCTAGGTTTATCCCCAAAAGAATTAAAAGAATTATACCACAGTGATATATGTACACGCATGTTCATAGTGGCATAGTTTGTAATAGTTTGGAATAGCTAAAACTTGTAAACAGCCCAATTACCCATCAATTGGAGACTGGATAAAGAAAATGTGGGTTTAAAAAACATAAAACAGAGTACTATTCAGCCATAAGGAACGAGAAACTAGAGACATTTGTAGCTAAATGGATGCACATTGAGGTAATACTTTTAAATGAAATAAATAGGACACACATGTATAAATCCTGAGTAGCTTCTCTGGTGTGAGAAATGGAAAGTATAAATAAGGAAAAAAATGTATATTAGATAATGTGAAATAGAAAGAAAATGTCCAACGGAGAATGGAAAGTGGGAGGGGTAGGGGAAAGGAAAGGAGGGCAAAGAAAAAAATATGACAAAATGAAAAATGGAAACAAAACCTTTGTAAATAGGGAGGGGTGGAGGGGTTTAAAGGAGGGCAGGGGAATGGGGAAAAATAAGAACCAAGATATATTATGTAAAGGTACAAAATCCCAGTAATAACTGTCAGCATACAGTATACCTAAAATGTACCAACAAAATTAATGTAGGAAAAAAATGCAGGAAAATAGAAGCAGTTTGGAAGCCCACCCTGGCTGCCAAGGAGGGGAAAATGTCTCTGCAAGCAGTATCTCTGATAAAGCCCTCAGGTTTAGGAGAGCCAGGGAGTGAAAGGAACATTTCTTTGGTACTGGGCTGTAGTATTGTCTATTGCCCCCAGGCAATCTAGGTATTGGCACACAAGGGGGATCAATTGATCACAATGGCTATGTCAACTTGTCTAACTTTGTATAATCAATAATAATAATAATATCAAACAAACTGGATAATGACAAGCTGTAATGTAATACTTTATCACCTTTAACCCCCGTTTCAAGATTTACAATTGTATAACAAAATATCTAAGACAATGCAGAAAATTATATAGAATAAATATCCTGATAGAGCAATTTACCCTTTTTCACAATAAAGCAATATTCAGCCAGAGTAAGTTATAGTTGACTACCTTTAAGGGTAAGTGATGTTGATGAGAAAGCATGAAGGAAATAGAGCAAGAGAAATAGATTATGAATGAAAAAGTAAGAGTAGATATGGAGAATGTGGTAAGATTGATGTACGAGGTCGTGTTAAGGAGGAAAGAGAAATTACTTATGTTTGATAGCAATAACAGAGATGACCACCTAGGAGAAGATTAAATAATAAAGAGTAGAGATGAAACTAGAGGAGAAAGAAATAAAAAATCCCAAGAGAACAAGTTGAAAGAGAGAAAGTTACTCATGTTAGGAAGAAGGCACATGAGAAACTGAAGACAGAGAAAGACTAAGATCCAATAACTTAGTGGTAAATCCTGGACTGGAATCCAAGGCTGTTTCCATTCCAGTGCTAGCACGGTAGGTTTGTGCCTTCTGAAGCACTATGGCTGAGAGTGTCTAATTTGGACAATGTGGACTGGGTGTTGCTAGCTAGAATGTGAGTTCTCATCACCCTTGGTAATGCTTTGATGAATCCTTGCTTTGTTTCTCCAATTGTAAATTTGGAGATTATGGGAGTTGATGCTTGTTATCCTCCTCTTCTCTTTCTCCTTACATGACAGATTTTCTAGCCACACTACCTTACTCTTGAAGTGTGCGTCATTAGTAGAATTCAGCTATCCTCAGCCACTCCTTCTTCCTTTGCCTCTTTCTCAAAAGGAATGTTCAATTAGGAGGACTGAAGTTTCTCACCACAGAGGGCATGGAATGCAATTCTTAGTGATGTGTGCAGAGAAAACTCTGACAAATATTGTGAGCACCAAGAGTTCAAACTATCAGTGATCTAAAGATTGTAAGTTATAGTTTCTGACAATCTGAAATTCTGAAGTTTAGACTAAGTATTTTTAGGATCCACAGTTGTGTACTCCATAATTCTAAGATTCCATGTGTTGGGTTCAAGAAGCCTCAAAAGGAGACATGCAACTTGATCAAGGTGGTTTACTCTGATGTTGGGTTGTTAACCAGGATGTTGGTGATAATACAGGTGTGAGTCTATGGGTTCATCCATATCCCCACTTTGATGTTCAGGAAACAGTCCAGTAGGGGATCTCACATTGTAATACACAGTAATGGAAATTGAGAAATATTAGAAACATACTATTATAAAATTTGCTTTGTTCAGGGGACCAGATTTACATTCCATAATCTCAATCACCCATTGTTAAAGTGCAAAAAATTGTGTGTGTGTGTGTGTGTGTGTGTGTGTGTGTGTGTGT